TGTTTTATTGCTATCGCTTCTTATGAGAAACTGTAAAAGATATCGCTCAAATGTTCATTGCTTCCCATTATATCAGTCCCAGAGGGTATCATCAGCTCAGAAGTCGGTACTTCGGTACTGACATGATTTATAACAAACATTTCTAAAGTTGTCCGTTTATAAATTAAGGTTTCAACTCAATCAGGCAAAGTTGACCTTAAATGGATTTAACTAATTTTTAGGTCCTTTTTGATCATATAGCTCTTCTACTGTTTCGGTTCTTATAAATCCTTGACTTTCAAATATCCGGTTTGAGTTTTCCTGATGAAGGGTAAATCCAGATAAGCGCTTTAGATGCAATTTATAACGTGTTGTTTTCATTTTTGTAATATTGTAATATTATACAATATGTTATTCCCTAAAAACGAATAAAATCAAAGGTACATAGAGAAGACTACATGTATGTCCAGATAGCAGCAAGGTCGTCCAAATATGCACATATGAATGAATGAAAAAATATGAATAAATCAAGAGGGGCCAATCATAGACTACATGCTGAAACCCCGGGTATGGTTTACATGCTATTTATTTATGATGGCAAAACATACCACTTAAGCTATCTTAATCTTTGAGCCAGATCTTTTTTTTTGTTGGCGTATTCGTATGCGTATGAAATAAACTTGGAAGTATGTTAAGCGGCCGATATTAGAATATTAAAAAGTAGAACACTAGAAAGTAATTACTTTGAACAAGTTTTGAGGAACTACATATTATATAGTAAGCTTTATAAGGTCTCGACATGAACAAAATGTAAACAATTGAAACGTACGAAAAAACCGACGGTCTGATTTACGAACAAAACAATAAGCAAAAACATATATGACGGACAGCAAAAAACGGCAACCACTGATTAAAAGTCTCCTGATTTTGGATAGGATCATTGAGAACTTGGCAGGGTTAAACATATTTGTGCTCTCTGAGATAACAATTATTTTTTTCAATTTCTTTGCATAAATAGTATTCGAATGCATAAATAGTATTCGAAATTATTCTCAAAATGATTGGTATTGAGATATATGGTACAGCAAAGTGCCTTTATTTGCCTTGCCTTTGTAAACACGAGTACACAATGTTGTTCTATACTACTTTTGAATCTTTATAGGTATATATTTTGATTTTGTTTTGAAAATCCAGGGAAGGACCTTGGAAGCTTTGTTTGTTTGTTTTTGAAATCATGATAATTTGTGATTGTCTAATCATAATAGATGAAGATATACAGAAATTTAAAAAAATTACTTATTTGCACGTATACTTTATTTTGCCCCCTGTAAGACTTTTCTAACAGACTTTTTGGTGTTTATTGACACGGTTCTGTAGTTTTTTTTGTATTTATATAAGAGAAGATAATAGTTTTACATATTCGCGATGATTTGAATCGCTCTCAAACATTATTTAGTTCACAGTAATAATGATTCATTGCTTGTGTTCCATGATTAAAACTAATATACAGACCTTCAAAAGTAAAAAGTACTGTCTTCTACACACCCGTCACCCTTCTCATCTTCTACTGAGGCATATGTTTTGACTGCAAGTATTTTATCTTCGAAAATATTCATGACTGTTTATTTATTTTACGTGTACAATAAAAACAAATCCGTTGGTAAAGAGTATTCCAAATACAGTCACTGTCTCATACCAATTAAGAAGATGAAAGTAAACAATGCAAAAAGGGGAGGGGTTGGAGGCTACAATACTTTTATGGAAGTTGTGAGCAGTTGAGAAATCCAGTTCCCTTAGAACAGTACCAACATAAATAAATACCAAATCATTTGTTTTAGACATAAACACACAACATATTATTGTCATACACATATGTACATTCACGGTCCTAAAATATGTCGATACCTTAATGTAAACATTGCACAAGGTCATGTTTTTCTCTTACTGTTGATGACGTCTCTACACTAAATCCATTGGATGTTGGATGTAAACTGATTGATACTGTAGTATTCGATACATGATTTATATATTTGTTGTTATTAGCTTTGAACTAGCGTTCAGTGCACTGTAACTGCGAGTACTCTCAGATCTGTACTATGTATTTTGTGTGCTTTTTATCGATCTGATGAATTAAGCCCTTTGCAACTGATTTTTATACTTTGTTCCAATGTTGTACTGTTACACCGCTGTCCCAGGGTAAGGGGAGGGTTTGCCGTCAGTAAACATGTTTAACCCCGCCTAATTCTGTATGTGCATGTATCAAGTCAGGATCCTGTGGTTGTAGTTTGTTTCTGTACATCATATTTGTTTTCTCTTTTTTTTTGTACATAAACCAGGCCGTTAGTTTTCTCGTTTGCATTGTATTACTTTTGTCATTTCGGGCCTATTGCAGCTACTATGCGGTATTAGTTTTGGTCATTGTTGAAGGTCATAAGATGAACTATAGTTGTTAGCTTCTACGTCGTTTGGTCTCTGGTGGAGAGTTGTCTCATTGGCAACCATACAACATCTTCTTATTTTTATATTTTAGCTATTATGAGTACGCTATTGCACGGAGATATAGATTTGAATATCTGACGCATTTACAACTGTAAATTTAATGGCATATGTGAAAAATTCGACATCTGATTAGTTGAATATACTCATATTGATTCATCAATAACCTTGTCATAGATTTTGAAACATTTGAAATAAAAAAAAAACAGGATGTATGTGAATAATGTTATCAGTTTATCTGTTTTATATTTCATGTCCGAAGTGTATCAAGTAATTTCTAATTTTGGTCTCGAGGTTTAAGTGTATGCGTTTTCTGAAATCGTGTACAATTCATAAACCTACCATTCATAGTAAATATTTCCAGCTCAGAAAAAATTTAATATTTATTTCAAATAAACAAGATTATATTTCGAAATGTCGAAGGTAATATAACCCACCAGATTTAAAAATCATATAAACAAAGAGTCTGATAGTAATATGCTACAAATTTACACATCAAATTGGGTGCATAAGGTTATTTTTACCAAGCTGTTTAAGACATGTTTACAAAAATGATATCAACCTATGACTTATAATCATAACGTACAAATTAATAAGTTAGATCTTTTTTAGCTAAAGGATGAGCCAATATTTTTTTTAAGACAGTAATGATTACTTCCAGAATCTATCAAAATCTGTTTGAATTTATTTTCGTATATTCTAAGTGTATATTTATAATTTTTTTTTTAATTCTGAAAATTTTATATATAATCATTTTTAAATGTAGAGAAATATATTATGGACAAATATCAGAACTTATTATATATAATTGATCCTTATGCAGCCATTATATCTGTATCTACAACAAATTATAGATTTAATTTAAGTGAATACCAAATCGTAAACTTTAAATTTCTAGGCAAAAAGCAGAAACTAAAACGAAAATACAAAGCTTTTAAAGATTGAAATAGCCGATTATCCTTCTAACATAATCATTACATTTACGAGATACACATGAGTACTAAAAATAAATTCTACTCATATAATAAAAATATGGAAAAGAATACAACTGCACCATGAGGGCAAACACATATAAACATGTAACATTGATGTCATAAATAATTACATTGCATGTATGTTTCATTACGATACTTTATTTTGATTGGCTAACAGCAATCTCGCGTCATTCTGAAATTAACCTTCATTTCAAAATGAAATGTAACATTCATGATGACACGAGCTTCCACAATAAAGTGCACAGGTAAATAAAAGAAAAAACTTGATGGAAATCGTGCTTCCATGATCTTACCAAAAACATGTAATTATAAGTTTTGCATGCTATTTTAATAGGGTTGTAAAAGCGTTAACCGTGCGCACATTTTCATACAAAATGTACTTCGGTCAACGCTTTTACAACCCAATAAATTTACAAAAAGAAGCATTCAATTCTTAAATAAAATATGATATAAATAGGAAGATACTTTTTCATTCATTTTCGTTGTTCATAGCTGTGTTGGATGAAAAGTAACACAATTGTTTTTATCTTCAAATAATTTATTTTAGATACCGGTTTTATTTTCCTCTGTCTGCGAACTCTTAACTCTATTGTGAGTCAATTAAGATAATAAGGCATGTATGTGTTTCCATTTTGATAGTATTTATATTTTGCATTGAAGTTCTCTGTTACTTCCTAAAAATTTGAAAATGTGTCCGATTTCACAAAAGTCATGACTACCTAATATCTAATATCTTATATTCATACAATATGTACAGCAATAACTTTATTCAAATTGTTCTATGGTATAGGCATTAAAACGTTAACATAACTGAAATAAATTATGCATCATTATGTATTTGCATACATTGATTCTCCTTCAAGTAGTTCTTTGATACACTTGTAGCAAAATTCATACTGATCCTGTAAACGAAAGATTAAAGAAGTGAAATTACACGTTATAACAACCATGACAACGTTTAACCAAAAGCAAAGATAACAACTTAGAAACTTTAGGAACAAATTTGATAAAGTTTTATTATCGTTATTTTTTTCTTTCTAAATTCGATGTTCCTCAAATGTGTCTTTTAAAAAAATGCTATAATTTTATAAAAATAATTTTTTTTATTACATGTACATGCTTAAATCTGTAATGTATCTCGCTTTCCACTCTCGCTTTGGAGGTTAATTAATTTATATTATTTCAGACGCACGGGTCATGTGTACTGGAATACTACATACATGTAGCTATATAGCTAACAATTAGAAAGTTGTCATTGCCAACACGTGCTCCTCAAACTACACATGAGCTAAATACCTAGAAACCAAAATTGTAAGAAATAATTTCTCCAAAGCCCTAACATACAGAAAAAAAATCTTTTTAAGGCATCCACTTTTATCAAATTGAGGAATGTAGGAAAACATGGTCAATGATAATGTTATCAATTAATACAAAAATATATATCAATGAAACCAGCTATTTCCAAATGTAGCAGTGAAGATCTTGAGCTTATAACTGTTGGCTTTAAAATCTGGAGATGCATTTCCTACTCTACACCTTCAATATGAAGAGTTTTATTCCATGCAAACATCAAACTGGTTTTTTCAAAAATTTCCTTTTTAAGTAACAGTGATCTTCAACTCTGACCATTGACTCCAAAATCAATATGCGTCTTCCCCTTCCCGATATCGTTATAAATTTCATTCAAGGTAGGTAATGGAAACTCAAGTTTCGACACAGAAAATATTTATAATGAAAATCCTATTTGTATGAGCATTGCATTTATATCCCAAAATAAATAGGCGTCTCCTCCTTGCTATATTTTATATCTGCATTAGTTCGATTTCAATTTTGAACGGGAAACACCCAGAAACCCATAAATATCTTTTTTTAACTTGAGAGACATGACCTTATTTTTTTACCTATTGATCACATGATATCAATAGGCTTCTATCCCTTTCTTTGTCTTCAATCTTTTTCAGTTGCATGTTAAATAAGGAAGGAAATCTCAAGTTACATTTTCGTAACCCATTTGTTTTGTACACACGGACTGTCAGGATGACCAACGTATGGACGAACAAATAACGTGATGACTATATCTCCTAAACTTATTTTGGAGAGCATACGAATAAATTTGACTTAAGAAAGGTGAGGGCAACATAAACATTTAAACTGGACTTTTTATTTTCAATGTATTGCCGTGTAATTATGTTTTCAATGAACCCAGTTATTTAGACTAGTAAAAGTCAATGGTAGGCGCATTAAGCGTCGCATTATACTGTGTCGAGCATAGACTTACACAGTTCTTCAAGAATTCTGGACGTCTAGTTTGAATATTCCTTACTACTTGAAAGACATCAACCTCTTCATCTATTTTCATTTTGTCCAAAATAAGATAAAGTGCAACAAACAACCCACTTTTGGAACAACCATCTCTAAAAAGTTACAGATAATATAATCAATGATTTGGTAAAAAAAGGATTCACTGCATTAAGAGTATAAACCTATGCTTGTTTTCGCTGTTTGTGTTTTTATCCCCATGGGAACAAATCTGATATCACGGACGTCTATAGATATAAGAAGATGTGGTATGAGTTCCAATGAGACAACTCTCCGTCCAAGTCAAAATTTATAAAAGTAAACCATTATATGTCAAAGTACGTTCTTCAACACGGAGCCTTGGCTCACACCTAAAAGCAAGCTATAAAGGGCCCAAACCATTACTAGTGTAAAACCATTCAAACGGAAAAACCAACGGTCTAATCTATATAAAAAACGAGAAACGAGAAACACTTATGAACCACATCAACAAACGACAACTACTAACATCAGATTCCTGACTTAGGACAGGTGTAAATACCAATTTGATAAATGTTGTGTTATATTTGTCTTCATGTTTAAATTATTCGAAGTGTGTACGTAATGTATGAAATAGTATTGACTGTTCAATAATTAAGCAACAGAAGGCAATGGAATCATCGAAACCACAAAATAATGCAAAAATACAAAATATAATATTGACAATTGTATAATATAGTTACTGCAATATGAACTATCTATTTTCAACAGAGGTGTTTTTCTAGCTTTTAAAAAATATACACCGAGGGTATGATTAAGAACGACTGCAATTATCTTTTACACGTTCAAAGTTTGCCACCGCATAATGGGGAATTGTTATAAAGTTTTCGTGACCTAGCTTATTAGAGACATTCGAAATTGTACTAAATTCCACTTATGACATTATAACCGGTTCCGTCTCTTTGACACTTTGTACCTTGGTATCGTTTCACATATGATGCACGTATAGCAGATGTCTACTGCATCGGCGCACTTGGTCTCTTTTTATTTGGAGTTCATGTTTAGTTTTCTTTGTATTTAGATTTAAAGAGTTTGTACAATACTTTCATTTTTTATAAAATATCATTGTGGATAAACTCATCATAGATATCAGGAATCACATATTGTACGCAAGACACGCGTTTCGTTAACAAAAGACTAATCAGTGACGCTCAAATAAAAAAAGTTAAGAGGTCAAATATAAAATATAGTTTTGGAGTTGAGTATATTCTGATATCTTGAATTTGGGTACCTGCATACGACCGTAATTGGACATTTCTGTGAGTTCCAACAATTAACAACACTTTTCAATAGATCCACCATCAGCTTTGTTGAAGCTAGTGTGGCACCTTCCCAGTCACTTGTCGTAAAAACATTTATTTTTCGTTTATCCGGTTGTTTCTTGAAGAAGAAAAAAGTAGGACAAAGTTATGAAAGTAAAAGTCTTGAAAAAGTGTTATAACATTATACGAAATTCAAAAAGGTATGTACTCCTCTCTAGTAAGGTAAAAAGAAGAACGAATAAAATCAAGACAAAACATTTTTTTATCTGTTACGATTGTGACTTGATCGAAACACCCTATTTCGCTTCGTTCATAGTTTCTTCCATTCACTAATTTGTTTTTATTTTTTTTTTATTTTCAAAATTGATGTGCCAATTTTGAAAAATCGGTAAATTTAATCAAAAGTAGTTGAATGATATTCAAATCTCATATATAGAGTAAGAAGACACATCAGGGTGACAAAAAAAAAAATACGGAGTGAACTATTATAAATCATGAAATGGTTTGATTCCGATTTGACTTGGATCATTACATAGATTAGAAAGCATTCAAGGATAAAAGGGTTTGGGTTTGATATAGTTCAGGTAACAATGAAATTATAACAAACAGTATAAGAACTTGAAAAAAAAAGAACTAGCTAACACCCACGTGATTTGGTCTCTGATGTATGGTTGTCTCATTGTTAATCATACCACATATCCGTATTCTGATACCAAACGAGAATTCTGATACAACGGCCCTCTTTAAGCTCATACTACAATTCCTTATTTAAATACATTTCAAGTTGAACAGTCACTCAAATAAAAGTGTTTAAATTTCGAAGCTACACAATCTTTATCGTTTACCTTATAACTTAATGCTATCTCCAGCTCATCCACATTATGCTTTTCTTCTTGCAGTATGCTAAAATCATCGACCACTAGCATTTCCGATCTCCCTAACCATAACTTTGCGTTCTAATATAAATAAAAGTACAAAAGTAAGATTCCAAATATCATTCCAATCAATGTCATACAATGTATATGAATATGTTGATACCAATGGCATACAAATATAAAGTTCCGATAAAACTGTGAAACACATTCGGAATTGCTGTATTCAAAGTGACACTACATAATAAGCATATCTTATTATCATTCCCTATGCTACTTTTTATGTATTGAATGAAAAAAATGAAATCACGATACTAAGAAGGCTACCATAAGCGCATTAGTCTTATAAAAACCGACAAACCATGGCCAGTAAAAAATCGTTGATTAGTTATAGACGATGATAAAAAAGTACCACATAGTCAGGTCATCAGTGTTATAGATGTTCTAAAGTAAATTTGAACAAATTATCAGAAAAAGATTATAGTATAGCATCCTTTATTTTGAGTTAAATAATGTGTAAAATGTGTTATAATTATCTAGTGCTCATTAAAAAGAACTATTTAGTGGATGGACATCATAAAATTAATATATCTGAAAAACTCATTTGATATTGCAAAAATATATTTACTGCATAGAATACGCTTCAGTATATCGTTCGAATTTTTCAGAATCTATATAATATTGATAAAGCTGGTAGATTACATCTCTACACAATGTTCTTAGACTTTCATTATGATGTAAGACGAATGGTATTAATATCAGAAAAGGAGTATGTGACATTGTTTATGGCGATGTTTGTGTAATTATGGTATCCAAGGTAAAGAAGATAAGTTGACATCCATTTCTATTTTAAATCATATCAAAATTAAAGAAAAGTGCAAAATATGATCGTGTAAAATATCGTTCTTGAATGGCAGTGTGGATTCGGCTTTGAGCGTTCCTGATGAAGGTCAATCCCGAAACGCGCTTCGGACGCATGCAATTTGTAACGTGATGTTTTCGTTTTTTAATAGAGATTAAATCATGTATTGTTGATTCCAATTAGTTTTCAAAACCTTCAAAATGATCGTAACTTTGCATATGTCTAATACTACCATACTGTCAAAAGGCGCTTTCGTTATTTCGTAAATGCATATAAGCATTTCAAATAACCCCCTCCCCAAGAAAATAAAAAAATGTAATTAATGTTATTTTTAAAATGTGCAATCCACTTAATTTTGACTTTGGTGAATAGTTATAGGCAATCATACCACATCTCCATATTTTTATAAAGTCAATACAAAATTGTTTGATATCGATCAGTGAACATGCATGTTTCAGGAATAAGCTCAGAATTCGTAAAAAGTGCAGTATATAATCAAAAACAAAAAATAACAATCAAGGTAATATGCCCAAGAGAGATGTAGTATTACACCATGTAAGATAGCATGTTTATATCTCATATCAATTTATAACAAGATTAAAAGGACATTGCAGACATAGCTATGTTATTTTCCAAATGATGTAGGACAACTGAAAATAATAACCATGATCCGAATTTTTTAAAAAAATGCACAAATAAATTAACGTGTCAGGTGTTAACAAATTTAAAAACAAAGGATATGAAAATGACACAACGAAAGGAGACGAAGTTATACAATGTCTATGTGATTTGTGGCAAGGACATTAATAATATGGAATTTATTTTACCGTTATATTTATCAAATCTTGCTTAAATCTAAGACATGTATATGCACCTAACTTAAAAAATAGACAGAATATTTTCAAAAGAAAGTCTGACAAATCAAATGTTCACCGACTAGAAATGTACGACAAACTCACTTTGTTAACTTGGTCCAATAACACAATGATTCTGGAATTATGGTCATATATCATTGTCCAGAAATCAACAACAGTGTCTTTCATAGGACATTGTGTTACGAAGAATCGACTTTCCTCTCTATATCCCTGAAAATGAATAAAATCATATGAATTTAAGCGAACAGTTGTAAAAAATGGATACTGTTTCGCTTTAATAACAAGGAGAAAATGTGTGCATGGGCAAACAGAAGTACAATGTAATAAAGGTAAAACAAAGTAAAGCAACATCGCTACTGTTTTATTCGTTTAAGAAGGCTTATGTTTTAACAGACACGCAGGTCAACATTAACATTGGGCATGAACATGATTAACAATGAAAAGACCCATCATATATTTTAGTCAAAAGATCTTGTTAATCCTAATGGAATCGTCAATACTACAAAACAATCCTTTTGTAGTCATTAAAACTTGATGGTATTTTAATTAGTTTTGCATTCAAGGTGTCAGCATTTTCCTCTTTTCAATACCTCTTTACTTTCGAATAAACGGATAAAAACTACACTTACAGGTATAATCACTGCGTTTATGTAATCAGTTCTTGTTTTTCCATATGACATAAGGTATGGTCGAAATTTGTCATCTGCAACACAATGTAATGTATTATTGTTGAGAAAGGAATTATTGATTAATGAACATCTGATAATTACTTAAATGTCCAATGTCAAATAGTAGACACGCTAACATGGATCATCCAAAGACCTCTTGCAATTGCAAAAAGCCGACTCAAAAGACCACCGATGCTATCAAAAGCGGTTATTACAATATAGTTAGATGTATTAATTACTCAGAAACAACGAAGACAGCAAAAATAGAATAAAATCCAACTAGAACATTTCGAAAACTTACGTTAATCTTTAATTATTTCAAAGGAACCTGGATCACTCAATGACGAAGCCAACAGGGCAAAAATCGTTTTTTTGGTATTTGACCTCGCCTTAGCCTGTGAAATTACAAGTTTTCCCACACCTTCTTAATTTTGATGTTGTATTTCATTATTCTATGTTAAAGGGCAAAACAGTCATAACATGCTGATAATCATATTTTGGTTTCCTTAATTAGTATATTTAATCATATGCATTCGTTCTTCAAATTCTCTAGTTCCGTTCGTCTTCATCTTACATCTTTTTTTATTATTCTATATCAAATGCAAAAGAAGGGATTTGGTGTCTTAGTTCATTCTTTTGTTCTTGTAAACGACTTCGTTCAGATTTATGTTATTTTTCTGTTATATGAAAAAATGCTTTTTGTTTAATATTTTGTTTTTCATATAAAAATTCGAATGTCAAAATCAAGAACACCACAAAACGCAGATAGACACAGCATTTTAAGGGCGGATAATGAAACTGGCAGTGGAAAATGCAATGAATGCTCTTGACATGATCATTTATATTAAAACAATTTATGCAACACAATATGAACTTGTCTTTATAAACTTGTCACGGTTTGAGAACTATTGATTTAGGTAGAGATTCGCATTTACACGTGAAGTATTTGCATTACCATAATTAACAAAATTTAGTTAACAATTTCATGTATAGATTTAGCTATTTTCTAAATATATGACAAGGACGTGCATAATAGTATACACGACCATTGTTAATGAACAGTGGCAAATCACGAACGAAGGTATAATAATCGAAAGAGCGAAACATCCTAATAAATTCAAACGCAAATAACTATTATCTATAACTACTTATTGCATACTTTTGTGATATTTTAAGAATAAGATAAACTTTTTCTTTAACTTTGTTTACAGTTTTGTTTATTTCCTCTGTAAAAAAAAAATAATTGCTAGGACTACCATTTGAAATGTAAGACGTGAAAATCTTGCATTTTACAAAATTACAAATTATAGAATTATAGAAATATATCGAAGTTCTTGCTGTATAGGATCAGTATCGGATCGCATACGACAATGACTGAGATGTTTAGATAAGAGGTGCGACGAAAGCCTATTAACTGTTCTATATCTTGTAATAAATATCTTGTTAAAATCTTGAAAACCGAAAAAAGCTCAAAATGGGAATCAAGACGATGACAACATCAGTTCATAAACTTCTAAGCTAACTATACGATATTGGTTTTGCTCCTTGTTTAAAATCGTACGATGATCCATAGTTCCCTACACCAAAGTCATTTGGATGATAGTTGCCTCAAGAGCAATCTTACAAAATAATCTTATTTTCATATTAGAAAGGTTGTTATTTGTACTGAAACGATATTCAAGGGTTTGTGATTCCTATGATGATTTCCAAGATAGACGGTTGCTACTTAAACATTAAAACTTAAAAGAAATTTATTTAATCAAAGGTTGTCTTTTTTTTTAGCTATGGCGTTGTCAGTTTATTTTCGACTTATGAGTTTGGATGTCCCTTTGGTATCCTTCGCCTCTTTTTTTCCAAGTAGCATAGATTTGGTCATCAATTCAAAAGTTTTACAGAGGCATTCATGAATTATTAGCTGTTACGAAATATCTGTGTCACACGAAAATGTTTCACCAGTCGTAATTACAATTAAGTCCCCTTTTCCTCAATTGTGACATCACCGAATGCGAGTTATTTCCCATTTTGTACTTGTTATGAATCGATGGATGCCAATAGTGGAGCAGGACCTTCGCAAGCACCTGAATGCACCCCAGTTTTTAGTTGGGTTTGTGTTTCGTAATCTTTAGCGATCTTTTGTTGACTGTCAAGTATTTTGTAGCCTGTTGTTTGCTTTTTCGTTGTTTTTCTTTTTGGCCACGGTGTAGTCCGTTTTCAAATATATAAAATCGTCATATTTGATTTAGATCTTTAGTCATTCATTAGGAAAGTTAATTTTGTTTATATATTGTTATAATATTTTCCTGATCATAAGTTGATAGATTTATTTGTACTGTTCCTTTACTGATTTTATATGAATAAATTCTATATTTTTGACGACATTTTGCACCAGAATTGAAAATGAATAGTTTTGGTATCTAAATAACGTCAAGTTTGCTGATTGGTTTCGATTTTTGGTCATAGGGAAAGGTGCAATATGTGTACTCCAGTGAAAATCTTGATTTATGTGCAGAAAGCGATAGTTCTTGTTTATCAGAATTTTGAAGATTCGATTAGTATTTTACGGCAATCAATTAAACAACATGTTTTATTTTCAACCCACCATTTTTTCTGTACCAAGTCAGGATAATGGTTATTGTTATCTTATAGTTCGTTTCTGTGTGTGTTCCATTTTAGTGTTTCTGTTGTGTTGTTTTTCTCCTCTTATAGTTGATGTGTTTCCCTCAGTTTTAGTTTGTAACCCGGATTTGTTTTTTCTCAACCGATTTATGAATTTTGAACAGCGGTATACTACTGTTGCCTTTATTTAGTAGTAGAAGTTTTTAATATTTATATTGCCATATGGTAAAGTAAGAAGCAAGACATACGAAAATTGCATAACAAAGTCATTGAAAGATAAGTACACCAGTACGTTGTAATGCTGCAACGATAATAATAACCCATGACATTGAACATAATTTTGTCAAAAGCTGGCCAATTTAATGCATATATAGTTAACAAGTATTAATAGATAAAACAAAATGACATGTACTTACGTGGAAGAATGCTCTTTAACGAATTTTTGGATATATTTTCTTTCAAGTTTCCAGCGATACAATTCGATGCAGTATACAATGGCCTCATATTGTCTAGTGTCTAATTTAAAATTAAATTATATTGAATAGCCCATTGAAATAAACCATCAATGAAATTACAGTTCTTGACTGGTTGTTGTTTGCTAAACGTGTTTCTTTAACAGAAGAATATTTGCTAAAGAGTGCTTAGTTAAACTTGATTGCACATGACAACAAAGACTTGGGTTTTTGACGTAATAGCAGCAACTGCCCGTAAACATTGATTGAAATTTTTATTTTGTTGAATATTTTTCTACAAAAATTCATTCTATCAATATATTCATCATCACAGAAGAGACATGTATTGTCGAAATGCGAATCTGGTATAGTACAATTGATGTTATAAAACAACGTGGTCGATACCTTTGCTGGTGAACTGTTAGTCTCATACAAAGCTCTGATCAAGGCCCGGATTTGGCTATACGTTATGTCCGTTTTGAGTAAATCAGCTCTCCAAGTTTTAAATCATTTTAGCTTTTCAATTTTTGCGCCCTCGAGCATCACTGAAGAGCCATGTATTTTTGAAATGTGCATCTGGTGAAGTAAAATTTATACCATTTTTTGATGACTAGTAATGACATTTTTTTTTTTATTTAATGCTCTGCTGTTTATGAAAATAGTAATTTTATGGAATCAAAAAGGTATTAGCTGTCACAATATTAATGTACCTGGCTATTCACATTCGATTTCTTTCTGTTCCATTGTTTTTTTTTGTTAAACTTATTGACATTAATTAAAGAAAGTATTGGACAGATTATATCACATTCCATTGAACTTGCTTGGCTTACGGTACTGCTATGTATCCTTTGTTAAAAGTCTAACGTTGACTTGCAGATGGTTATACATTTCATTTTTTCACAGCCATCCATAAACTCCTGAATTTAATATTTAGAACTACTTTTACGAAAGTATACGGTCTTTTCAGGTATCTATAATTCTGAATGTAACCACTCGGAAACGGATATCATACACGGGTTATAATGAATAAAGTATTGGTTTAACGTCTTACCTGAAATTCTCGTTTGTACACCTTTTGGTTTTTTGGTAATGTCCTACATTCCTGATCATCAATATATTTACAGAAATCTTTCTTTCGAATAGTCGTTTCTGGTATTGTAAATAGTTCTAGCAGTGCTTCAAATACAGTCTCATATTGTTCCTGCATAATTGTTATTACAAGGAATACAAATATTGTACGGAACTGATAACCCTTCCCCTAATAAAAGTATAAACATCAAAAATCTTGTGAAAAAGGCCGATTCAGAATAGCTTAAAGACTGATATTTATATATACGTTGATTAAAAGTCATTCATTAAAATCATGATAACCTGTTTTTAGATACCATACTTTGATAACATAACAAAACCATAAACATTTGAAAAGAAAATGAAGATAAAATATCAATATTCATATACTGGAGCTACCTACATTTTTAAAATTCTATGATCAGTTAGTGATAACACATAATGATAAGTTAGGTTGGATTAACTTCCAACGACACACCAGACCCTCAGCTTACAATTCAAGCTTGATAGTGTTCAAACCATGTTAACTGGATTTGTTCAAGTGGAATCTTGTTGCAAGTGTATATTTCAATTGCATAGCGAAAACAATCTTGTATTTTGTTTTAACTATTTCTTCTAAGATAATTATAAGTAACAAAATATGATAACTGGTATAAAATATAGCCTTTCTTTTTATTGTCAGGATAAAAAACGTTCTGTGCGTACCTGTCTTACACATATTGTCTTTCTATAAATTTGAAGCCCCAACAGATAAGAAATCCAAGAAACTTGAAATTAAAAAGGGTTCAAATAAAAAGGGAATACAATGTTTTAGGTCACGTTTATCTTATTTTAGTTTTTAAATCGCCTTTAGTATAATTACAAGGTTATATAACAGCTGTTTAAAAACAACTGACTCATTCAGATCATGCCAGTATCATGGCACTGACTACATGGCATATTGTACCATCTGAGACTGATAAACCCCCGTCTAAATTAATCTGCAAAAGGACTTCTGATACTTTGTATGCATCCTCTGGTACAAATGTTTGGCTTGTAAATAGATTTACTGTTGATCTACAAAAACTTTTAGTCTTTAATGTTCATGTTGAAAATTAAACCAGAATAGCGATTCAAAAGCAGCAAATGTGTAAGTTTAAAATTAAGATTTGAAACAAAATTATCATTTGTTCAGGTTTTGATTATCAAAGCCAGATAAGGATAAGGACTTTGCGAAAGGTGTATATTTATATACAATCGATTGTTTATTTTTGGCATGAACACTCAAAATCGGTATCGCTAAAAATATTTTACATACAGGTGTTTGAATCATATTCATTCTGTCTTTCCTCATCATCTGAACATACTCCATAATATCCACATAGCCGACCTTCTTTCCGTGCTCATATAATGCATCTGTAGCAATAAATGTTCCTGTCCTTCCAACACCAGCGCTAAAAATCATGAATAGAATGACATTATCGATATGAAATTAGTACTAGTGAAAAGGGAATCTGTTGAAATAGTTTTAGAAAAATAATTTGTTTTTATGTTACCACTACAAAGATATCAAGCTCATGCATGGAAAGAGTGTCATGACTGGTCCTGACAAATGACACAAAAAATAAAATACTCAAATTGATGTTTAAGATATTTTAAAAGGATTTTGATAATCGTTTTATTAAATAATAAATATCTATTGTTTCGATATGGTATTCATGTTATTGAATTGTTCTAAAAGCGGAACCACAAAAATTAAAACATAATCTCCTAATGTCACATTCCCACCTGCAATGTACATCCATTGGTCCATTTTGATCACAATGTTCACTTTTGACTTTCCTGTAAAAGTGGACCAGTTTTATGCTGTCAGGGACACCGTGGTCTGGCCATTGGATGAAATGAAACTGGTGAACTTTTCTTTCTTTCTGTTTCTAAAAAAAGGCTGATATTGTGAAAAAGAATATACCAAGGGAGACATATACATAAAAAACATATTAAGAAAGCAAGAAAACACCAGAATCAAAAGAAATAAACGGAAAATTAAAAATTGAACAACATGAACCAGAGCAAATAGGATGTTGGGACTTGGCGTGGGTATTTAACTTAAGTGAGTGTGATAGGTATATGAATAACAGCAAAGGAATAATATTTTCGAGCGAACGTTGTAATAACCATAATAGTACCAATGTTGTTGCACCAGATGCGCATTTCGAAAATAAATGTTTCTTAAGTGATGATCAATTACAAAATATTTTGAAAGTTAAATACCAAATAAAAACGTTGAGGAGCAGATAATGTGATGATAACTTATAACAATGCTTATACTTGTACTTGATACACCTAAATTGTTCAATAATTCTTTTTTATCAATAAGATTTTAATCAGAAATCAAGTAAACATACAATTACACAAACTCAGTTATCTTTCAAGTGGTTAATGGTAAAGATAAAATAAAAACTGAGAAGGCCCAATTGGGTCTTCTTTGCTAAGATGCAATTTTAAACTATTGGTTCTAAGCAGCCCCTAGTGCTTACATGGCATTATACATAAAACTGATACCATGCACAAAAATATTGTGTTAAATGGAAACTGTGTGTTCCACTATCTTACTTTGCTGATTAGTTTTGCTGTACAGGGTTTTTCTATCCATTACAGTTTCAAGATGATACGCAAAAACAAATTGTTTAAAAATTGTGATTTTGGGGCAAAAACCAATGTGAGGAGTCGATTGACTGTATCAATCGTTTCACTTAATTGTATAACGTCTGTTTCTGACCATTTGTTTTTCTCAAAGTTTCCGTCTATCTATGTTTGTTTTCAAGACATTATGTAAAACAAAAATAACAGTCATCAAACTTCATTAAAAAGTAAATTTCCTATAAAGAGCGACGACTCCGGAAATGTAGATTTATTTGTAGATCTCAATTGCTGATAACAATTTCGACACAAAAGCAAAAATGTGTAAAGCTCTTCAAAGATACCAGGCTTATAATGTTACGCCATACATGTTTCGACTACATGAGTTTCATCGATGGGTACTCGATTAAAAAAGGTGGAAAGCGTAAGTTAATTACGAAGTCCGAGTTAAATAACATAGAAAATCTTCAATGACGGGTACTTATTCTTATAAGGAGTTTACAAACTAATTCACATAATTGACACATGATCTTTTTTTTAATATCAATAGTAACTTATTTATCTTGTTTTACTCATGTTATTAAGGATTGACTCAGAAAGAGCAAGACTAAAAGTAAAAATTAGAACATTTTTATCTTTCGGGTGTCTTGTAATTTGGTAGGCATTTTATATCTATAAACGGATGTTTACAAATATTCTATTTTAACACGTATTTTTATCAAAATCAACTACCTACATTGCCATTAAATATTATGATATTTATTCACAAAATACACCTCGTGAATTTGATCAGCAATAAAAGAACCTATTTGCAATACATTTAATTGTAGGACAACAGTGGACCAAAATCGTACAATTTATTTTGTTACTTGGCGCAATTAAAACTCAGGTACTAGTTTGCAGGGAACTGAATGATCTTATATATCTAGTATGATTGCCAATGATAAAATTGAGAATGGAAATGGGGAATGTGTCAAAGAGGGGACAATCCGACCAAAGAGCAAAAAACAGCCCAAGGCCACCAATGGGTCTTCAACACACTATCAACCAGAGTTCAAATTACGATGATATATGTTCATTTTAAATTAAAGGCGTCATTAATAGAGGACGGACTGATGTTTGAACCTTCATTCGTCGATAAACAACTAAACAAAAATAAAATGTTAAAAATTCAGAAAAAAAAGTTGAAAACATGGACGTGTGAATAAAAAGCTAGACATGCCATACAATGAACACAGAAAACAATTAGAGGCAGATTCTAGGTATGAATTCACTTGAAATGAATGCACATGTGCTTCGGTTGAATATGTTTATAAAATATTTAAGTTAACTTAAGTCATTGCAATTAAAAATATCAAAATATGTTTCAACTGCATTTAATTTAAACTCGTTAAATCTCTGTAAATAATGGAGTAATAGTAGAATTATTTCTGATGATCGGTTGAGTCTGAGTTTCTAATTCATTTTACTAAATTCAATTAAGAAGTTGGGATAATTACCGTATCTGTATTGTTGGAGATCATTATCAGTCTGTATACACAAAGGGTATGCTCTTTTTCTTTTGTCATTGTGAGACGATAATTGTCTACAACCATTGGTTCATTAACTGCATCAGGCCAATATTGTACACATTTATCCTGTACAAAATTATAAACATTTGGTTTGCATAAGAAGTGAGACATTTAAAGATGTATCGTACCCGTATCCGTATCTGATACGTTGACGTATCTGAACGTAACTATGGGTTATTGTTTAATCGATTATTTAGTACATGTTTAAATAGTAATCGAGAATAGGGAAAAGAGAGGGAAAAAATAGGGAAAGGGCGATGGAAATGTTTGGTTTCTTTCATTTTTAATATCTGAATTGTTTTTTTTAATAATGTTGGATAATTGTTTAATTGATGTATTATGTGTGTTTACATACTTGCTTCTTGTATGTACAAATCCTGACTTAATTTCATTTATTGCCCTAAAAGTGATGTTTCTACGATATATATTTACAGTACCTATAATACAATTATGAAAACATTATATGGACGACAACATGGACAACAGAAGCTAACATTTACACACATTTAACAATCACGTGATTTTCGTGTCAATTTATATACTTGTTTATGTTTTAACACTCGATATTTAAATCATTAGAACTACCCAGGCGTGAAGTTGAATTATAAAACAAATAAAGTTAACGTTAACAATATTTATACACGTACTTTAAATTGGCTAATAAATGGGGATTGTTTAAAAATTCTGTATACAGGTACTTGGTTGTCTTTGTCTACATATATGCTGTTTAAACTTAATATATTGGCCAGTAGGGTCGAAATTATGAACACCATGGCAAGTTGAAGTTGAATACATTCTTTTCTTTGTATGAAATATATTCCAAGTATAAAATTGTATTAGTTGATATTAAAAATATCAGAAATAAGATCATCTTTTCTTTTTTAAAAGAATACTCAAATATTTTCATAAAATAAGCTGTTGAATTCTTTTTAGTTTACAAATAAAACAATTTCCTTATATTTTGTAAATTAAATATGATTTACAAATTAAAAAAATGGAAAATTAATACCCAAATTGCTATGCCAATGATGAACATTGAATTTCATTTATTTTCCATCAGCGCCGCATTTTCAATATACAAATCATGGATCAAAAAGTAATAATGATCTTCTAGCGCACAAATACGCACACAAACACACAATCTTCCCCATTTCGTCTCTATTGTGTCTATACAAGAAACCAACAATTTTAAACATTTTAAGCAGTCTAATTACATGTTCAACATAAACTCTATATTTTCTTATATTCTTGTTAATTTTCCTCCGGACATTTCTCTCCTGTCTAGGTAGTCTGCGCAATTGAGCCGAGATGAATGGTGTAACAACTAGATGTTCGGATGGGTATATATAATCCCCTAATAAAATGCAGTTTCGTTGAAAGTCTAATGTGCGTCCGTCTCCGATTGGGGTCTGCATGTTAAAAGTATTGGCATCATTATTATGGCCCCGAAAACCTGACTCAACATGAACGATTTTCTTTTTATTGTCAATGACAACTTGTGTGTGTACACAATGGTAATGACAATGGTGGCTTTGATATTGGCGCTGAATTTCGGGTGACGGCATTCGAATTTCGTGGGATGTGGCGTCTATGCAACCAACGGCTTCTGGTAATTTTCTCCAATTACGTCGTTTAGAAATCCATTTCTGCGGGTAGGCCACTGTACATTATCACACAATATTTCATACAAGACTTGCCAAACATGGGTAACCGTTCTTGACACTTGTCTACGGTGAGTATCGAACAGTAATGAAAGGATGTTATATGTAGGATAACATTTAAGCCAGATTAATGTCAACAGCAGCATATTGCATTGTATCGTAACACCCTTGGACATCGTATATGTAAACGGAATTTTCCAAATAAATCCAAGAACGTTTCTGGGTTTTAACCAGTTGCATCATAGAACTGCAGCAGTCGGTCTGATATTAGAGCAAAAAGACCTCGGCCGGGGTAATCTCCTTGATCGTCGTAAAAAATAAGATATTCCTCGAGATCATAAAATGAGGAGGGGGTTGTCTGGACTTTAAAGTAATGTCAACAGTCGATGATACAGCCTTCTAGTGTGATCTCTTAATGATGCCCGTGTTTCAAACACGACAAATAATAGTAACAATAGAATTTCTCTTGAAATCTATAAACAAAAGAAAGTTTAAAATTCCTTTTTCTTTTTGTTAAGACTTTTAAATTTTATTATTTTTAGATTACATTGAAAAGTACATTTACATGCAATTTTATTAAATAAACCCGAAATAAGAAGAATAACAATTAAGAAAGAATAGCTTGGAATTATGATGTCGTATTATAACATTTACGGTAAATTAATTTGCTACACGAGGACGAACAATCGAGGTGGACTGAAAGCAAAATATTGGAAATTACAGCAATGGCAGCAAAAGGTAAGGATTTTGAATGTACATTTATTCATACCACATCTTCTTATTTATATTAAACAATTGCATTATATTATTTATCATACTATAAAATAGCACAATAATAATGGAAAATGTATTCCACAACGATATAAATGATACTGAGATATTATTATACATGTATAAAACAGACCTTTCATAATAGTTTTTTCAAATATCTAAAATTTATTGTAGACACATTATTAAATTTGGGATTTACAACATAATATTACTATTCTACCTATAAGTGCATTATTGTCTATCCTCTGTTACAACTTTGATTATGTAAGGGTCTGTTCGTTTACTTTTGTTATTAAGGTTCCGCTAAATACAAAATCTAGGATATTAAATTTTCAATATTATGATAAGTTTTGCCATTTATATACCTCAAACAAGTTAAGCCCTTTCTGGTCTGTATATTTAACGGATGCATATTTTTTTCCGTGAAGGATTATCTAGAAATGCAATTGTAAATGTGGGTATAGTTTTGTCCTATATTTTGACTTTAGTGGAACCGTAATTAGTCAAATAAACAAGGCCAAACTACCTTGTATGTACAGGTTAAAATTCAAATTTATAAATCGTATTTGTATGGATGCCCAAGTAGTAATACAATAACCATACAGCATTTTAAACGTTAAAAAAAGTAAAACTGCAAATGTTTTCATAAATTACATAACATACTTTGTTACAACCTGATTTGTTTTAAAGATTTTTTTTATATTAAACATGTTTGTTAAAAGAATATTTTTATAATATTAAAATGATATTTTTGTCAAATATTAAAAGAAATATCTTTATAATATTAAATGAATATTTTTTTAATAAAAACAACCCATTAAAATCGGTAGCTTAAATTTTCCATCTTTTATCATTCAATTTGTATAATTCTTGTGTATTTAGATAAAAGAGAACACCTAAGTTTTACTAAAGAAGAATGCCAGCTGATGCTGAGATCGTACATTGTACACCCAGGGGACTATCAGTCTATTGTAGAGGAGATAAAGGTTAACATAAACCATTTGACTCCCCAAGTCAATGCCTTTTATGAAGGCAATGACTTCAAAAAAATAAAACAGAGATTGAGGGAAAAAATTCAGAGACTGGTGTCAAATATAAAGCAACAAAAAGATCCGGAAATTAGGTAAGAGTTATTTGATGCTATGTGGGCAGCATGAACACCTGTTGGTTCTTTATAATCGTCTGTTTTTTATACATTTTTTCTTGACCAAAAACATATTCAATTTGTGTCAAAAAAGATTATTCTGTTATGTTACATCTTAATATTTTTTCATCAAGAAATATATATTTAATAGAAATTTGAAATAACATATAAGCAACATACCCAAATGTGAAATCAATCGATTGAGGTAGTAATTTCTTTTGATATTTTCAATTTTGTTTATAATTTTGAAACGTCAATTAATGCATTTATATAAGAAAACGACAGTAGTACCAGACTCTAAACTGCTGTAAATTTTAAAATATAAAATCTTTGTATGATAATGATCACATTATAAATGATTTTAGATTGCAAGCAGCAAAACGAACAATATTGTCTTATATTTATGAACAGTGCATATATAGCATTACTAATGATCAAAACATTTATGTTTTTAGAGAGGAGCAAGAGGTTATATGTTCCATGGAAAACAGGACAGTACAATCAACTTATACTGCCTGTTCCAGCCAATCTGACCCCTTAAGATGAAGCTGTAGAAGAAAAGTTCAGCAGTTGTTCAACCTAATCAATCATCAGGGGATGATACTTCGAGTGATGATCTTCCTGATCTAGCCTTGTCCCCGGTGAGGCCTTGCACGTCACCAAAGCCAAGACCTTCTACTTCGTCATCTTTAGTTGATGTCGAGGATGAGGAGGATGTTAGGCTTCACTGGGCGAGGAAAGTAGCCAAAAAGTGTGAACAAAAGAAGCATAAGAAAAAAGACAAAGAAAACAAAAAAACAAGAAAGGGGAAATCAACAAGAGAACTGGTCAAGGAAAATGAAGAGATGAAGAACGAAGTCCTGAAATACTTAGTTAAAAACAAACAGAAAATCTTACAGGAGTCTTCGTCCTATATCTCTGAATCATCCACATCAGACGAGTCGGATTGATTACTGATACCAATAATAATAAATTTATAAATTAACAGGCAATACTTTTTTTTTCAAATATTAAAAATGAAAGAGACCAAAAATTTTCATCACCTTTTCCCTATTTTTTCCCTCTCTTTTCCCTTTTCTCGATTTTTTATACCACGATATTTGACTCAATCATTAACTATATCTGTATTATTATTCAAATCACGCCTGAGAAGTAAAAAAAAATCAATTAAACAATAACCCATAGATACGGTCAGATACGTCAACGTATCAGATACGGATACGATACGTCTGTAAATGTCCCACTCTATATATATATAATAAGAGCATTTGCATTATTCACGTATCTGGATGCGTGCCCGGATCGACGTATACTTATCGGGCAGATTTGTATAAAATAATTATTTAGCCACGAACTCAATTCAAACTAAACAGCGGTAAAATATGCATCAAATGTTGGAACTTTGTACAGACATCATAGGGATACTTTAAGTAGGGTTGTTTGTTTGTGTGCAGCTCTTGCAGCCCGAAGTACCAATTTGTTTTTTTAATCTAACATTGGGTTTGTTAGTATTATATGTATGCGACTTTTTTAATATACGATTAATTCTTGTTATTGTATGTTATGCATTATAAAATATCTTCATCGGGACCAATTTGACTTAATTTATCCTTTCCTCGTATACGTGTTATACGATACGTCGATACAGTTACGCCAGCAAATACGTGAATAATGCAAGTGCGCTAATACAATGTACAACTGTTCAGAAAAAAAAAAATATTTCGTATATCCTAAAATACTTTTCATTACCATTTCTAACATGCAAAGTTACATTTTGTTTTCTTTTTTCATATCAATAGCGAAACATAAGATGTAGTTTCAGAAGACAAGTTGTGTTGTTACTAACAAAGTATTCAAATCAATATCAATGATAATTGTATTATCCTATTTTCAGTAATAATTCGGGGTTTCTTTTTATGTTTTAAGAACAAAATATCAAAAAATTAACAACCCCGTAAATATTCACAACCATATCAACCGCTTGTAAATCCTATGTCCTAAATATATTTTGACGCGTTTGAATATGATGGTAAATTAAGACCAGTGGCAAATATCACATGCACCACAAGGACGAGCATATGTTTATGTAATATAAAAATTAACTCTACTTTGTATAATAATTACATTCTAAGCCGGATGTTTGCACAAGCTAGTCAACAAGGTAACAGTTCGAAGGATCTTGTTTCATCCTACTCAGACACATTTTATTTTTCGAACCAACCAGTCTTTAGTCTAACTCTTATATGTCAAAAGCTTGGCAAATAAGCAGACCACATCAATTTTCAAGTCTCTTGTTTGTCTAGGTCGTGAATTGAGCCAACGACTTCCCGCACTCTATGCGAGTGTGCTACCCCAAGACAACCAAGGCGGTATGTTCTGTAGAGCAATGAACGATAGAATAACTTTTCAAATCGCAACATATTCCACAAACAACAACTAACATCGCTAACAGCTTACGTCCTTTGGTCTCTGACAATCATACCAAATCCTCTTACATTCTTAATATTGCACACCACCTCTAAAGCCGAGTTCTCGAACTGGTTGTTATAAAAATGCTTAAAATATTCAAATGATATAATTATAATTAAATTATTTAATCTTATGTGATAATGTAATTTGATACCCTTTTCCCCTCTTTCAGCTGTGTAACCATTACAATTTTACCAACATGTTCTTGCCATATCATATGCCAGAAATCTCTGACGGTATTTTTCTTAGGACCTTCAATTAGATAACGAATTATAGAAATAAAAATCGATTAAAATTAAAGTATGGAAATATATTTCGGCGAAATACCATCGCAATTTTATTATATAATGTGTTTTTGAATTTTAAAACCTTACATTTTTTCTAGTTCCTTTTTATGATTTTCTTATTAGAATTTAAAGCAACTTGTTGCATAATTTCAATACAAATAACAACTTTGAATATTGTTTGCCCTCTTAATATTTCATCTATTCCATTTATATTCTTGTACGTGTCTACAATAAAACAAATCTATTCTATTTTTCGAAATTAAACTATGATAAAACAAACGTCACAAAAATACATCACTTTTTGTGGCGTTGATACATTCGTGTGACGCGCAGTTATACTTCGTTTGTGGTGTACTGGTGTACTGTCGTAAATTCATGGGAGGTGTCCGTTGTTATTCTGTGGTTTACATGTTGTAATGTACTATTATATTATTTATTTATGTATTTCTCTATCCTGGGTGTTCTTGCGTTTATTTGCACTGTATTCCTATCACCTAATGTTGTCATTGTAGCGGTATTTTTAATATTGCCACATAAGCGGGAGGTTTGGCTAGCCATAAAACCAGGTTCAACCCACCATTTGTTCTTAAAATGTCCTGTACCTAGTCAGGAATATGGCAATTGTTATCAAATGGTCTGTTTCCATGTACATGATGTATGTTGGCGTTTGTTTTTGTTGCAGTTCAGTGTTTCTGTTGTTCCGTTGTTTTCCTCTTATAGTTGTTGTGTTTCCTGCGGTTTTAGTTTGTAACCCGGATTTGTTTTCGCTTAATCGATTTATGACTATTTAACAGCGGTATACTACTGTTGCCTTTATTTATATTCATTTTATTTATAACTTCATTTTTAGAAAATAAATGATTATTACTCTTTCAAGACGAAGATATATATTTGGATTTGGAATGTTTTTTTTTCGCACGTAAACATATTTTAACAATAAATATAAGATGTTTGAGACAGCAATTGACAAACATACACAAAACAAAAACGTCTAGAGGTCATCAACATCATTGACAAAGTTAATTGTATTCCAAACTTTAAAAAGACATTAATGTATATCCCTAAAAATATCAGACGCACTGATTGATAAATAAGAATACAATCTTAACCTTTATAATGTGTATAAAGCAAAATTCCAAAATGAGTTGGACATTACAATAACATGTTTTGTTTCTAAACATTATTACCGTTACAACTTTGTGTAAAATACCAGTTTTTAAAGACAATTTATCATTCATTTAAACTAAACCTTTACAAACCTTGGGCTGCTATGTATGCCTTTTCTTTGTCATAATTCTGAAATACAACAAAAGATTGGTGTTTTTACAAAGCTAAAGAATCCATAGTAATATGTTATATTGGTATCAATATGTCAAGTCCATCTACTTTTTAAAAAAATAGATATAAAATAAAATCTGTGATCATTAATCGAAATATGCAAATAGTTTAAGGATTGAGAACTAAATAATTGTTGACAATATTATCAACTGACGCAACTGTCCGAAAAACGCTTACGTGTCAATAACATTCCATGAATGATATTGCTTTTCTTTATTTATTGTAAAAGATATCAGGTCTTATATTTACGTTTAAAAATATTTGTATATGTTAGTTTAAGGTATATGCCGATATACAATTTATAACAAAAATATTACAATTTAAAATCTTACGTCAATGTAACTAGCATTGATATAATCAGTCCTTGCGTTTCCCTTCAGTACGATACGTGAATGATCATCTACAACAACAAAAAAATACAATAAATAGATCTTGCATTCTCCAAATAAATATTAACATACTAAGTTGAACAAAACAGGTAACAGAAAAAGTATGCTTGTATCAATTTCATCGTTATCAATTGGGATGAATTAGATTGTTATCGTCTTTAAAACTAATTTACAGTTTATCATGTATTCTTATTTAAAAGTAATGTTAAAGTCATATAAAATGAGTATCTGGCGATTATTATGTTAAGAAAATATTGAACCAAAATGCATGCATAAATACTTAACTAAGTCCTCTGTGTACGTTTTTTTTTAAATTTTTATATTATTTCGCGTCCGTAACGTATAATCGACAAAAAAAAATTCATTCATTGATTATTGAGCAAAAAATTTTGCATCTAATTAATTTTCTGGTTTTTGTGCCGAAGTGTACCGATTGTGACCTTGGTAAACAATAAAACAGAATCATGGAGCACGTGAAATATAATTGAGATAATAGAACTATGTTTTCATTTTGTTTTCATTTTGTTCATGCTTTTCAGTTAACTAAACTTTGCCATAACAATTGTTAAATTATTTAATGTATTATTTTTCTTTCAGAATCGATCGATAATATCTTCTTTCCATTTTTGTTTACCTTATCTTTCATTGCGGCTTGTCCCTTTGCACCATCGGTGTGGTTGCCGAATTTGTAACGAGACATGTCATGGTTATGGTCATCCCATACGGAAAAGCTGACGGCGAATTAAAGACAATAATTCAAAAGTAGTAGTTTTTGAAGATTTGGAGGAAATATAGGCTTTTCTTTTAAAAGAAAGTATATGTACACGTGTTTTATAGTAAAACTTAGCCAATCAAGTCTATAAAACATCTTCAACTTTTTGTTGGATTTGAGGTATCATACGACTCAATCATTAATTTTGAAATCATGTTACATTTGTGAAGGTTGTTGGACATAACAGATTAGAAAATGGAAACACAAATTAAAAATTGTAATACTTTAAAATTTGACAGACGTATATCACTTCTGCTTTTTTGACGAAATTTTTATAGCGAACAAATTAAATTAGATATTATCTGGTAAAAACTAGAGTGCCTGAATATTTCGTTTATGTCAATTGCAAATTTTTCGGACCTTATTACTTTGAGTAATTTTAACATACAAGGCCATGTTGTGAGGAAACGATTTTTAACTTTATTTTCTTCTTTTGAGCCTTCAACGTGTGCATGGACAAGACCTTTTGGTAAAATCTAAAAAAAAAGACATATTATAATGATTAATGGTTAAATTTTAAAATTAAATAAAAAAAGTTAAAGCAATAAGGAGGTTTAAAAATTACTACTTGAATGTCGTATTCAAAAATAGGTGGAGAAGATATTAAGGTTCAATAAACAATCAAAAGTCAAAAACTGACAAAACAAAACACAGAAAAAGAACAACAAAAAAGCTACAGTGTATAAATATCATTCAATAAAACGTAAGTTTGAGTAAGAAGCACCCCTCAAAAAAATGTTGGTGTTTACTTGGGAACTTATGTGGGGATAAATAAACACCAACATGCGTCAATTTACTCCCATGTAAAAGATAAATAAAGTAGTATCTGATATTATAAAAACACATCATTGATCAGTCATAAGATGCTTGACAAAGAAAAGACATGTTAGAAATGCCAAAACTGATATGAAACCAATAACTTTTATTATTTGCATCAACATTTAGCTGCTACAAAATGTAACACCAATGAAAATATGAAGAAAGAATATGTTATCATTTCAAATATAATATTGGACGTCTAACCTCGTATTCATTCTTGAAACCTTCATCTTTCAGTTTTTCATTAATAACATCCTTCAAATTTCGAATAGGTATCTTGTAGACGGATTGTTCAGTCGGTAAATTTTTGTATACAGCGTCATCGCTTTCAGATTGTAGTTCTGTTTCTTCTGTGTCCTTAAGATACACAGATACCTCTCCTAGATCCGAGGTAATGGCTGCATTTATATATTCGTTTCCATGATTCGTTTCTCTTTTACTATCTATAAATAACCTTCTAACATTTACACGACCCTACTTATGCAAATGTATCAGTAGTTATGAACATTTTCTCTAGAATATTGAATCATTAAAAAAAATAAAGAGAAGGAATGAAGATAAAATATTCATAAGACAACCCGAATATAATCAAAAATGGAAATAAAGTTGTGATTCAAATTAAAAATACTGGCAGTTTTCAATAATTACTGTAAAATGTACATAGATATTTAAATGCACAGGCATCCCTAAGATCTTTGATAATTTCCCATACTGCTCGTTTTTGGACATTAATCTTCATCTATTTTACGAAAAGCCAATATAAAAAAGATAAAAATAAACGAAATTAAAAATTTTCGTGTGTATGTAGAAACAATCAATTTAAGTTAAACAATAATTTTCATGCGATGTCAGGCAAGTTATATACCCATTCAGTTTAGGATACTGATGAATATTCAATGCCCGGTGAAATGATAAAAAAATAAGATACCGTCAAACAGGAAGTGAATATCCGGCTGATTCAAAAATCGCACGCTCGGTACAACAAAACATTAAACAAGGTTTAATCCACAATTTTCTACATAATAAAAAATGCCTTTACCAAGTCAGGAATATGACAGTTGTATTCCTTTCGTTGGAAGTGTTTGAGATTTTAATTTAGCCATTTGTTAAGGGACTTTCCGTTTTGAACTTTCTTTGGAGTTCGGTACGTTTGTTATTTTACTTTTTATAAAACTACAAACCAAATATAAAATTTTGTCCTTTATACAGAATCTGATCAATCCGTAACGAAAAAATTCCTTGGCCAGTTGGTAATAAAAAATCAAGTAACATTAAATGATGCCTGGCAGAACTAAAAATGGCTTTCAAGGTACAAATTAAATTCCAGACCAAAAATATAATTGTTCCTGAATTCAGAACAATATACAACAAAAATAATGAATGGACGAATAGATGAGATGATTGCAGCTACTATATACCAGCCACTCATTGTGTGGGAATATGATAAATTATAGATCTCTTTGTAGTTTGCATTGCGAAGAACATGAAGAAAGAAAATGATCTAGTAATAAATATCTGTTATTACTCAAACTCACTAAAGGTAGTCTGTCTATCTGGTTTTGATTTTTTTTGAATATTTATCTTGTGTTGATTTTGAGTTGCGTCTGAAAATACAAACCAACACATTACAACATGTTTAAGAACAACTGTTTTTTTTTTATAATTTCATATTGTAGTAATCCTGAAAATAACCAAGTGTTGTTTCGTTATTTTTATGTTTCATTAATAGTTAAGCGAAAAGACATTTGAATTTAATTTCATTTGAGAGCACCTCATCCATCGGTTCATCATACTTTTGCTGTATCTTACAATAATTTTCATTATTCAACTGCTAGGTTATCTAGTAGATGATGATGAAGGAGTGCTGACAAATGCCAATAACTATTTGGTATTAAGGTGTTTACATGTATATTACTATCTTTTTCATATGGTTTCATTCTGATTCCTTCATGAAAGACGTTTTTTTCACATTTCTTTTAAAAACGATTTAATTTTGGGCGTTAATAAGAACAATGTTGTGATAAAAATATTTGGTGTACTGTTGAAACAGAATCGATGCTGTAAAAAGGTCAAGCCTCACAGCGAGCTTAAGTATGAAGAACAATCTTTTAAAAAATGTCTGGCAAGAGATTAACCGACCTTGATTAACATTAAAAGGTACTAATGTTTCTGAACCTAATGTGAGTATATACACTTAGTGTCCATATAGTGATTCAGGTAAACAAAATATTTGTCAATCTAAAACTTTGAAGAGATGATATAGGACCAATGGTATACCACAAACCTGACAAACAATCAGAGCTATGAATCAAGGAGATACATTCCTTAATCAACATGGTACTTTCCATAAAAACAAACTTACTTGTAAATAAAAAAGTACCGTTAATATTATAAAAATAATTGCAATGACAGCACCAAGACTTCCTCCTATCGTTGCTCCGTTAGATTCTTGCTGCGATTTAGATCTCACTGAAACAAAACAACACATTTAACAAATATGAGTTGTTAAGATGGTAGCTTGTCAAACAATTGTATTTCATATTAATTTTCTGACCCTTATCACTAATCTCCAGATACTATATAATCCATTGAATGAAGACTTATTGGGTGAAATCCTGTGTAAAATCAATTGTTACAATCAGATAATTAAAATCGTTCATTCATTTGTTCTTTCAAGAATAAAAAAAAACTGGCCTCCCCATGCTGAAAATGCACTTTTCTTACTAAAAAACGGTGTGAATTTTACAGTCAGATTATACGAAAAATTGACCGACTTGCAAAAATACATATCAATTTCCTCACCTCTGTCAATAGCATTTAATATTGAATGATTAACCTGTTCATACATTTTTTTTATTCCAAATTTACAATATAGATTATCAAAAATAGTCAAACTTATAAAAAAACATATTTTGGCCTAGTAAAATACACCAAGAAAGGTTTAAGACAAATACAATCTGATTCCTGCGAAAGGGTGAAAGGGAATAACATCTTCGGTTTTATAACGTACATTCGGGTAAAATTATCGATCCTTTAAATAAACTTATTCTAAATGGTTACCAATTCAACACTATAATTAGATCTTTGAATATTGTTTTTATTGGTATTAATATTGATTTTGTTATCAGTAAATTAAAATCAAACTAAATATTTTGTTTTATATACATATGCACATTCATAGCCCTTCAACATGTCGATACCTGTATCTTGGCATGGCAAAAAGTCATGTATTTTTTCTGTTAATGACGTCTTTACACTAAATCCATTGGATGTTGGATATGTTCTGATTGATATTTTAGTCTTTGATGCATGATTTTTTTTATTAATTGTTACTAGTACATGTACAACTAGCTGTCAGTAACTGCGAGTACTCTCAGATCTGTACTTAGTGTCTTTTTGTTGTGGGAATGTATAAGTACCCGGCCACGTCCACTCTGCGTTTTTGTTAGATTATTTCTGTTTTGTATCCATCTGATGAGTTAAGCCCTTTTGAACTGATTTTTATAGTTTGTTCTAATGTTGTATTGTTACACCACTGTCCCAGGTTAGGGGAAGGTTGTCGCCTTCAAACTAGTCAAGTTTAACCCCGCCACATTATGTATGTGCATGTCCCAAGTCAGGGGCCTGTAATTCAGTGGTTGTCGTTACTTGGTATATATGATATTTGTTTTTCTTTGATTATTTTGTACACAAAACAGGCAGTTATTTTTTTCTCGTTTGAATTGTTTTACATTTGTCATTTCGGGGCCTTTTATAGCTGACTTAACGGTATGGGTTTTACTCATTGTTTAAGGCCATGTGGTGATCTATTGTTGTTATTTTCTATGTCATTTGGTCTCTTGTGGAGAGTTGTCTCATTGGCAATTATACCAATCTTCTAATTTTTATATTTGTATTTTACACGAATCAAAAGAACGTGTTTATCTACAAACAGTTGGCATTTGGAATTTCAATGAGACAACTTTCCACAAAAGACCAATCGACGTGGATGTAAACATATATAGATCATTATAATTAAAGTCTGAAATGAAAAAAAAAAAAAAGTTTATCTTAGGAGATCCATAAAACACAATTACATCATATACATTGTAAAAAAAAATAACACAAACAAAATACACAGAACATAAACATAAGCAACACTAATCTCTTAAAAGGTTAGTGTCGATCTAATGAATCAAGCTATTTTGAACTGAATTTTACAGGTTTTCTTAATTTGTGCTGTTTCGTCATTGTACCAGACAAGGGGAGGATTGAAAACTTACAATTATATTTAATCCCGCCTTAATCTTTATGTCCATGTCCAAAGTCAGTAGCCTATAATTCGGTTATTGTCGTTTGTTTCTCTATGTCATATTTGTGTTTCGTTTATTCTTTTGTTATACATTAGGCCGTTAGTTTTCTCGTTTGAATCTTTTCACATTTTGTCATGCCAGGGCCTTTTATAGCTGACTACATGGTATGGGTTTTGATTATTGTTGACGGGTTTACAGTCTCCTGTAGTTGTTTACATCCTCGACATATCGACTTCGTTGGAGAAATGTCTAAAATTTGAATTGGAAGGTCTTGGTAAATATTTAAGAAGTTCAACAGTTTCTTTGTCTGTGCAACTACTTCAGGTGCTTCATTTTGCACTTCAGGGAAATTGCCTCACTACTTTTTGTTAAGAACTTAAAGTTCTTTAGGATTGCTTTTAATTTCAATAACCCTGAGGCCAGTTAGTCTAATGGCATGACGTTTTGTCACAATATCAGCATAGGGCCGGAAACTAACATACTAATGCCGATGCATTGTCGCGAATACAGTACAATAGAACAAACCTGAGACTACTGGACTAAGTTCGACAATACAGTAAATAATAAGTACAAATGAATCATTTTGACCAATAATACGAAGTCATACTTAACAGACCAACTAATTACAAAAGTATGATTCCTCTGAAATGCAAGAACTTCTGGAGAAAGACAAGGATATTGACTCTTTAAATATATTGAAGGAGTCAACGTACATAATTACCAACAGGAGAAAATGTTGCACGTCTTAGTAATGCCACCACAAACTGTTTGCTTAACGGGAACAATATAACTACGAATGATTCTGTACTGTATCAAGGATTAATTCCAAAACAAATCAACTGATCTAAAAAAATAGCAATTGTTAGTTCAAGATTGTTGTAGGTCTGAAATATTGATAAAATGCCACAATTCGATAGTGTAAGATCATTTTTGTATCAACAAGACCATAATGAAGATCGAAGAATATTTTTATTGGAACAGAATGAAGGAGTATATAAAGCAGCATATCAGACAATGCCCTTCATGCTGTAAGCTGCGGAAAACAAAGAAGATCTACAGAACTATTATGTTGAATTTCCTATGAACAGAGTAGCATTGGATGCTATGAGACCATTTTAAAGTTCAAATCTAAAATGAGATTTATTTAAGTGATCGGTGATCACTTTACCAAAGGAATGGATGTCCATCACTCGTTATAATTAACGAGTTGATTTCTAGATTTGGAATTTCGACGGAAATCTATACCGATAAAAAATATGACAACAACACTTTAAAAATTGAATGCGTCTTAAACGCTTTTCTGGATTTACCTTCATCATGAAAGCTCAAAGCCGAATAGTTGAAAGCCAAAGACGTAAAAGAATCGAACCACTTAAGGAGCTATATGACCAAAAAGGACATGAAAATGAGAACCAAATCCATCTATGGTATCTTTCCTGAGGGAGTTGAAACCCTAGTTTCTTAATAATTTCTAAATTTACAATCGGAAAATTTTATAAAAGTTTGTAAAAAAATGATGTCAGTACCGAAGTCGTAACTACTGAGCTGATGATATGCTCGGGGACTGATAGTCCACTAGCAGCGTCATCGACCCAGTGCTGTGAACTATGAAAACAACACTGTATTAATGTCATGCGTCCGAAGCGCTTTTTTTGGATTTACCTTCATCAGGAACGCCCAAAGCAACTTAGGACTCATTTCCAGTGCAATTTATTTCAAGATTTACGTAGGCTTCTTAATATCCATTTAACGAGATCAACCACTTTTAATCCACCTTTGCATAATTTGATATTAATAAAATTAATCCCATATTAATGATTGCATATAGAAGTACTATTCACATTTCTCCTTAGTTTAGTCCTAATTCATTAATGTTGGGACCGGAATTGAATATAGCTTATGAAATACTTTTTCCGTTGCCTAATGACAACGCACAAACACAATCTGTAAATGATTATATAAACGATTTGTGAGTATACATATAAGATATAAACCATGTGGCTAGCGAAAATCTTAAGCAGTCCGGTGAAAGGCAGAAACAAGGCCATGGTACGATAATGATTGATAAACCATTATCAGTTGGATCTCTTGTATAGAAAAAGTAATAATTTTTCTAACAACTTGAAAGTCCATGGTGTAGTCCATTTGTTTTCTTCAAGAAATTTAGTTATTTAGTTTTAAAAAGAATAGATTCCAGAAATAGTTTTAATATTCATGTTGAAAGCCTAAGAATATAGGAATCTAGTTGTATTCCATCTTGATTGAAACAAGTAATATAACATTTTATGTCTTTGTAACTAATGTACTTCTTCAACAAGTTCGATATTAGCCACGAGTTTTGTTTTCTGTTTTTGCAGATGGAAGTTGAAAATAACCAGGCATCATTCATCTGTATACGTAGTAGATGTGTAGATGAAATTAAAGATTTAAGATATGCAATCTGGCATGTTCAGTCAAACATACAGCATAAATAACTGCCGATATTAGTGCCCTATATGTATATTTAAAAGTGACAATTGACACTGTTTAGAGAACCATATGAAGAATGTATAAACTTCATTCCAAACTATTGATGTCCAAGAAAAAGTTTTTGAAGTACCAGAAACACCAACCCAGACTGTATTGACACAACTACCCAGGCTGGCCCGGAAGAAGATTTTGAAAAGCACCTTTAAGAGAATAGAAATTGTTAAACTGAGAGAGGAATCAAACTTTTGGAAATCAAAAGTCCAAGCATTGGGAAGAAAACAAACGAAAAATAAAACAAACCATCTTCGCTACAGAAGACCTCAACAGCAACTTGGATGTGAAAATCGGAAGAAAATGATTGCAGTGAACAAGCAGTACAAGTGAAATTTGACAATATAAGATACAATTCCTTTATGTTGATGATACACTGGTCGATTGTGTTGATATTGCTACATTTTACTATATTCTATTTTCCCTTTATTTGTCTTCGTGCTAGTATGCTTCTTTCGGTCGGTCGTATGAATTTTTACATGACTCGGTATCTATGCCTCCCGACTTCGGGTTCTTGACTTTTA